ATTAAAAGCATCATACAACAGAAATGTATGTGCATTTAAAGTAGCACCTTTATGGTAGCACAATTCATAATAGGTAAATCCTGGAAACAATCCAAATGCCCATCAAAAGAAGAATGGATTTTTTTAAAATGTGATATTTTTATACAATGGAGTACTACTCAGTCTTAAAGATAAGTAAACTTGAGACTACTATAGCTAAATGGATACAACTCCAGACCATACTCCTAAGTGAAATAAATTATATTCACATATGTAAATATATTGTCTCCCTGGTATGAGAAACTGAGAATAAATAAGGTCTAAAATGTACAGTAGATATTGTAAAATGGGAAGCTGTTTAAAGGAAAAAGGAATTAGGATGTGGGAAAAGAAGGGAAAAGGCAGAAAAATGCAAGTTAGGTACACTATTAGTGTTTCTTAGTTCATAGAAAAGGAAGGTTTGCGCTAATATTGATTAGGCAATTTTTATACGTATTGTACTGAGCAACTACTTTAAAAGAAAATAATATGCAACGTATTAACTATTGTTATTCACTTATCCTCTTGCTATGAAATTTTGTTTTACCTTTTTTCTATGAAATAAAATGAAAAATAAACTTTAGGAAGAAAAATGGCACAAAAGAAAAATTTTTTAAATGAGCTTATGGTTTAGGAGGTCATTTGAAAATTCCCTACTTTCTATCCTAAGTGAAGTACTATGGCTATGGCTGATTTTGTCATCTTGTAAGCAATGAAACTGCTGTATCTGTGGATTTCGTCCCTTTCTTGGATGTGAACCTGATACTAGGATATCTGTCATACCTAATGACTGCCATTCCTTCCCCTATAAAGATAGAAACTGTGATTACAGTTTTTCTAGTTTGGGTCAAAAGGATCCCTATATAAAGCTACATCAAATCCCAATGAATCTACAAACGACTGGCAAGAAAATATATGAAAATCTTATATAAAAGATTTCAGAAAGAATTTCTAAATATAAGCACCTCAGAACAGATTTCTATAGGCATCTGGATACTTTTCCCCCTTTTATACTTCTATGAATTATCAATCACAATAAAATCCTAAAGCTAATCAGCAAAACTAGCATCAAATGCTATGTACTGTAGCTTTCTAATTGACTTATTTAAGAAAAATAGTTTAAAAAAGGAAAGCAAATGGTACATTCAGTGAACAATAAAAACTGTAGGAACAGCTGCAATGTTACATTTTAAAGTTGGAATGAGATTATGAACAAAACACAACAGAAGTTAATGATAAAATTCCAGCTTTTTAATGTAAATGACTTTGGAATAACACAGCATTCTCACAGTATTAGACTCAGTAAAACTAGTGAGAAAGAAAGCTATTCATATGGAGTTAGGCAAAGATTCGTTAGCCTTTGACACCAAAATATTCATAAAAGAAAGATAATTGATGAACTGGAGCATACCATCTCTACTTTCATGGATCTGCCTATTGGCTGACAAACTGATCTACTCCAAAGGCTTAAGTCACTCTTCTTGCCACATTAGGTCTGCCTTACCCAATGGATAAGTGCAACAGTTTTTCCCTTGGAATTCCACGGAAATGTGTGCATGTAAGACAGTGAGGAAAAGCAGTTTAGCATTTTACTATTACTCTGTTCCTCTGACAGAAATCTAAGAAATGAACTGGATGTGGTGGCACATGCCTATAGTTCCAGCACTCTGGAGGCTGAGACAGGACTGCTGTGTGTTCAAGTCCAGACTGAGCTACGCAGTGAGAACTTGTCTCAAAAAACAAAACAAATAGGCTTAAATGTATTCTTAAATAGTTAATCAAAGCCTGGCCTAGCATTTGGCGTTCTAGGCCAGCCTGAGCTATATAGCAAGACCCTGTCTCAAAAAAAAAAACAACCTCTTAATAATTTGTTTCATTATATAATTTTCTGACTCCATCATTCAAAAGGATTGGAACTTGTATAAATGCAATGATGTTTTTTGAACTGTTTCATATAAAGATGACACTTGATCTCGCCAAAAGTCTGAGATCACACATAGACATTAAAAGTTGTATAGGTTGGGGAGCTGGGTAGTGGGAATAATGAAGGGCAAAGATTTCATGATCAAATAAATGTTGAAGTGTTTCCCTTTCTATGTATCTTTGAATGCTTTTTTTCCTCTAAGTGTATTCATTCTCACTGAACACTGGGCAAAGCAACATTTGGAAAATCTATAATAGATAAAATTAAAATTAAGTTAAAAAAATCTAAATATTTGAAAGGCACAATGCCAATATCACAGACAGCAGCTACCATCAAAAACTAACTGGGTATGCAGACACAATTTAGAATTAGTCTAGAACAACTAAATTAATAATTCACTCAAGTGCACTCTGCCTAGGAGTTTCTGCATTACCTTGAAAATCTTTAGAAATCTCAGGTTTTTTCCCAAACATTACTGAATTCCAATATTCAGAATTTTATTAAGTTCTCCCATATCATTAATATATATACAAAAAGCACTGGTTAAGAACAAAGGCTGCCAATTTTTTTTTTTTTTTTTTTTTTTTTTTTACTTTTTTGAGACAGGGTCTCTCTATGCAGTTCAGGCTGGCCTTGAGCTCACTTTGTAGCCCAGGCTGGTCTCAAACTCGCAACGATCCTCCTACGTCAGCCTCCCAGTTGCTGGGATTACAGGCATGAGCCACCACAGCCAGCCAATTTATTTTTTTCTATAAATGACTAGAAAGTTAATATTTTAAGCTTTGCAGACAATATGGCCCCTATTCAAACTACTCATTACTCTACTACTTAATAATGAGTCAGTTATTAAGGAGATACAATGGAGATATAACACCTGTTCTTATTTAGAGTAAAAGGACTTCTAATGTACAAAAAGATGAATGCAAGTACACAATTCAGCAATTATAAGGGAAATTTTAATATCACTTCTCAGTACTGATAGTACTAGAAAGAAATAGCAGAGATACCGACACATTAATAGTACTATCAAACAACTTGACCTAACTGAATTTATAGTATATTCTGCCCAAGAACATACACTTATTCTTTTCAAATATAGATGGAATGAAACATATGCTAGTCCTAAAAACAAATGTTAATTTAGAAAACTAGAATTATGCATATTATGTACCACAATCATATGGATTTAAGTGAGAAATCAACAACACAAATATGGGAAATTCCCAAATACTGTATTAGGATATCATGTGACACAATTATAAATTATGGGTCAAAAAAGAAATTTCCAAGGAAATTAGAAAAAATCTTCTGAGACTGTATGGCACCGGCTTAAAGATATAAATACAACAAAACCACTCAAGAATAAAGCTTTTTACATTTATATTTCATTTTGGACAAAGATATTAAAGCAATTCGGTAAAGGGCCTTGATAAACGGTACTGAAAAAGATATATACACACAAACAAATTTAAGATCTTTACCTCATATCATAAACAAAACAGCTCAAAATGTATCTTGTGCTTAAATATAAAAACTGAAATGATAAAATTTCTGGAGAAAATACAGGTGAAAAATACTGACTTAGTGATTAGTATTTCTTGAGTAGGTTATCAAAAGCACAGTCCATACAAGAATTGATAAACCATACTATAAAAAATTTAAAAGGCTTAGTCTTGAAAAAGTATGCTTAGAAAACAAAACAATAAGCCAGATTGGAAGAAAACACTTTCAAAATCATTTATCTACTAAAAAAAAAAAAAAAAAAAAACTCGTATCCAGAATATATATATATAGTTTAAAACTCAAGATAAATACCCCAATTTTAAAATGATTTACATTTTAACAAGATAAATAAATGACTATAATAAACACATTAAAAGATGTTCATCCTTAGTCATTAATTAGTGAAATGGAAAGTAAAACCACAATGAGATACTACTCCAAATCTAAATTGAGGGACATTCTTAAGTACTTTAACTTTAGGAAAGAGTGCACTAGAAGGTGAGAATCTGGAAATTGATTCTTGTAAAATGAACTTTGCTGACTTACTCCTTGGAGAGCTTCTGTTTACTTCCAGTGATATATATATTGTATCTAGAGATCCTAGTTTATGAAAAAAGGAATCTGGTAACCAAGGAAGTATTTAGTTAATAGGACTTGATCACCTGGGAAAGCATCATACATGAGTCTGACTTGCAAAAGAGACTGAGAGATGAGGTAACAGGGACAGAAAAAGAGACGAAAAATTCTTGCTAGAGTTTCTGACCTCATCATAATTCTGACAGTCCCTAGCATTACCAACTGGAGTCAAATGAGAAAGATATCCTCAGGCAACAGTTAAGATGTTTTCAACATTGGTTGACTGCCACACTGACTCCCTTCCCAGCCTGCAATGACTAGAAAGCATCATGCCCAGGCAAGTCTGCATATCTCCCTTTAACAACACATCTATAAATCATGCAACACCCTGGTGCAAAGCAGAAAACTGTACCACAAAAAAAAAAACTGTACCACACTGGGTTGATCCTCTGTTATGACCTACATCACAAATTATAGCATTTGTGGCAGTGTAATCACAGCTGCTTGTTTACATACCAGCCTCTTCCCCCTCCCATTACAGACTCTATTTAAGCCTTGTTTAAGGACAGAAACATCTTGAGATCTTCAGCACCCAATGCACTGTGTGGCAGTTAGTGCAGTTAATAATACTCAAAGAAAAGAAGACTGGGCTGGTTATTACTATAGATACAAACTTCAACAGTACAGTTTGAATATTTAAGGGTCCTTAACCTATGACTGTTTAGTGAACAGCTAGGAAGTGGAAGCATGTCATATACTGAGTACTCCTAACATTTTGGTAATTCTTTGCTAGAGATCAAACTAAATCACCCTGTAAAAATAAATTTGGTGGTTCAACTCCATTAAAAAAATTAAGTAGGCACCGAAAAACATCTCCTTTTGAAATAGGCTCTGGACTTACCATCATAATTTCAACTCTGGAAGCCAGCATTTTATCATATATCACAAACAATGACATAATTAAAACAGATAGGCTTACCTGCCAGGAAACTGCTCCCAAAATTGCTGTTGCAAGAAGGCTAAAGAAAACTAATTGCTCTGAAATTAAGCAAAAATGACGCATCCCTTTGGATGCCATGATTCTATCAAGGCTATTGTTATCGGCCCTGTGGGCAAAATATACTTTATGGCAGTCATTTAATTTGGTATGGAATCCCCAAAGAGTTAACAGAAAAATAATATGGCAAATCATCCAGAAAATTCCAAAAATGGAAAAGCCCGGTATTACAAAATACCAGAGATGAGTGTCTCTAAGTTTAAATGCTGACAAAATAAAAAATGTAAGTTCAATCATCCCACTGAAAACAACAGAAAGTCTTCTACAAATTCTTCCACGGTACAAAAAGGGTTTCCATCTTTCAGTTACTGAAAGTCCACTAAAATAAATGTCAAGGAAAGGATCAGTTACTAGGCAAATAAAAAAACATGCAAAAGCAATTGGATTTTGAGGAGTTTCCAATGAGGAAAAAAATAACAACACTGCAAAAATAACCAGGTTTGGAAGAGCTAGGAAAGACTTCATTCTCAAGTCAATAATCAGCATGGCCAAGGCTACAACAAGTAAAATGATACTCAAAGATTTCTCTACCAACATAGTTGTGCTGGCAATGGCAAATCCAACAAGTTCCAGAAATTCTACCGTGGTTAGTAAAGTAGGTCGATGACGGACATAACCAGAAATTCTTTCCACTAATGCACATAATATCCTTAACACTATGGAAGTTAGAAGTAAGTATTTAGTTGATTCTTCTTTCACATCATTTTTAAAAGATGAATTATCAAGAAAACATAAAAGGCCAAGCAAGAATCCAAACCAAAGATTGGAGAGACTTAAGCTTGCTGCTTCCATTGAAAAATAATAGTAGAGTATGCTGGCAATTCCAAGAACAAAAAGACCAAGAATAAAAATTACCAAAATTAAAGAATTTGCTGTTTTTTCCCATCTTACATAAAGACCTAAACAAATAGCCACCAGTAAGTTTATTCTGGCTAAATAGCCAAGGTACCGCACTGAAGAATGCATATTTACTTCCCTATTTACTTCTTCCAGTCTTGTCATTGCTAGATAGAGACAATGACTAAAGCAGTAACGCAGTGATTTACACATGTAATCCAGCAATTCCGGTTGTTTCCTCACGTTACAATATTTAACTTCTTGTATTTCATCCAACAAATCCAACGTTTCAGTAATTCTTATTTCAACATTTTCTCAGGTAGAAATTTTGTTTACAGTGATCTAAAAAGAAAAAAAAATTCAGTGTTAACTTTCCTTAACATTTCATGCTTTTTCAATACAAAATAATTAAGTGAAAAATGAAGGTTCTTCTAAAATCCAGTTTAACATCTCATCTGTATATATCTTAATGTATGTTGGCATAAAAACTGTGGTTTATTCAAAGGAAAAATGGCTATGTTTTCTATTCATCTTACTAAAAACTCCATGACTGAATCATCATCAATGGGGTCTTCCTTCCACAGATGAAGAATTTGACTAATCCATTCTCATGCCAGTGTTTAGTTCAGTTTATGTTGTAGCCATGACTAGGGAAATCTACTCGGCTCTTAAACAGAATGAACAACTTCCTTGTTACTTCTAGTAACCATTACAATCCACCTAAATATCCTACATCTTTGTATAAGCCAGTTCTAACAATGTTATAAAATCTTAAAACTTTATACTACTTAATAAATTTACTTAGAAGTAAAATTTAACTAAAGTTACTAAAAAATAAAAAATGTTAGTCCCTAAAGTTAGCTTATAATTGTTTCTGAACTTTTACCTATACTAAATTACTCTGAAAATGAAAATTTGTTTTCTAAATCTGAAAATAACTGTTGCAAGGTATAATTTTAAAAAACTAGGATCATGATCAACAGTCACTGCAAAGAAAATGAAGAACTTTTTGTATTCTACTTTTTTAAAAAGGTACTAAAACGATTGTTAGAAGACTCAAAAATTATTTCAAACATAAATGCTCCACAAGTTTCACCTAAAATATGACAGTGGTTTAAAAAGATGCTTTAACCACTCATTAGATAATTACACAAAATTTCTAGAATACTGCTTCTGAAGAACATATCTCTTGCAATGCTCATATAATATTGAAGCACACTTCAAATATTCAAAAAATAGTTTGTCAGCTGAGGATGTAGTTCAATGAATGGTGGAGTGCCTGCCTACCAGGTAAGAGATCTTGGGTTCATTCTCCCACACAAAACAAACAAACAAAAAAAACAAAGTGTGGTATTTTTATACAATGGAGTACTACTCAGCTATAAAGGAATGATCACATTGAGTTGGATACAACTTGAGACCATACTCATAAGCAAAATAAATCAAACTCACATGTATAAATACCGTATAGTCTCCCTAATGTAAGAAATGGTAAGAGTACATAAGAGTTTATGGTAATCATGGTTCCTCATTACATTGCTTTGAAGCCTTATAATGTTTGCATTCATTAGTTGAAATCGTTTTATCCTGGTTTGTTTGATTTTATTATCTGTGATAGTATGAACAGCTATTTTGAAGAACACAAGACATTATAATAGCCAGTGCTGATTTAATATCTTACTCTGCTCTTATGCTTTCGTTCTTCTATTTCCACTGTTCTATCATATTATATTTTATTGGATTTTATTATGTGTGATAGTATAAACAAATTTTCTATGGAAAATGAGATACTATAGTAGCCATTGTTCATTTTCTGTTACTTGGTTCTGAATGTTCTGTAATTCTTTCATTCTCTTGAATGGTTTTATACTATTTTGTTATGTTTGATACTATCGTATATGAAGTTATGCCCAACTATTTCAAAAAAAGAGACATGGTAATTACTGTTAATTATGAGTTGTCTTGTGGTAAAATGCTGTTATTTACATTGTTCTGATCTGATCTGCTTTGTTGTGTCCTCTTTTGTCTTAATCTCTTTAAAATAAAAAATATATTTAAAAAAAGAATATTAGTTTTTCATCAGTTTATAGCTTCTCAATAGCAGTACAAAGACCCAACAGAAACACAAGATAACCTGAACTAAATTCACTAAGTACCAGTTTGGTTACTGAAACAGTCTCAGTGTCTCTAGGAGGTTCCAAGCAACATTAGTAATTCTACTACATATTCAATAAACATATATTCTGTAACTAAATTTATTTAACTGAGTAAGTATTCCAACTGATTCTCTTCAATTACATTTTCAATCACGTGTTAAGATAACACACAATACTAATGTGAATGTCTTAAGTAATACTGGGTTTTGTTTTGTTTTTTGTCTTTTTCATTTTTATTGGTACCAGGGATCAAACTCACGGCTCCCTGCTTGCAAGGCAGGTGCTTATGCCGCCTGAGCTAAATCCCCAGCCCCAATACTGGGTTTTTTTTTTATGTGTGAGAAACTGACAAAATTTGGAATGAACTGTTTTTTTCTTTTTCTTTTTTAATATTAACTCTTATGCATTACAGAATCATTCACCAAATATGTTAAGACGTATATCCTCAAAAGGTTGATGATACAGTGTGTGCTCAGACTCTGTACACTACAGGAGAAAAAAATCATTACACCATGCTAAATCATTATATTCTAAATTCATGAGACATTGTTCTTTATTTCCCAGGTCAACATCCTTCTCTGTATTCAAATCTCTCTTCTTTCTCAAATTGCCAATGCCTACTTCCCATAACAATTTTATCAAGTCTGTCTCTTACAAAGTTATCAGAAAGAAGTTCATCTGCATTCCCAACACCACAAAACCACTTCTGACTACACCTATGGATAGAAGGAAAAAAGGCTGTCCTTTTCCATTTAAGACTACATCACTCAACTGTACTATATATATCTCTTCCTTTTTTTCTCTTCCAGAATATCAGTCTTCTTTTCCAAACTTTCACTTAAACATTTGTAAGCCTGTTTTTTTTTTAAGTAATACAAGGGGGGGGGGGTCTCAAAAAAACACTCAAAAACAATCCTTATTCGTTCCCATCTCAACTTTCATCTCGCCTTTCCCTTTTTATTTCTCATTCGTTTGCTTTTCAAGACATTAAACAGTAGTTCCTACCACACAACTGTTCTATCAAATTCTGAAATAACCTATAAATTCCTAAATACAGAGAATATTTCTTTTCCACTCGGTGTACTATGCATATTTTTAAAAGCCTTTAATCATGATGTGTTATCTCATCCTCTGAAACTTTTTCTTTCTCTGATTTTCAAAGGCCAAATTTCTAGATTTTCTTCTCAATTCATTGGTCTCTCACCCCTGGCTATACAAATTCCAACCTAGGCTTTTCTCTTAGTATACACTTGCTTTGATCACCCTCAATTATTTCCAAATCTTCAATTATGTAACATAATAAATCCATAACATGGAATATATGCAGACAGCTTCTTATAGGCTAAAACAAGACACCAAATAATTATTTTTAAATGGTTAACTTATAAAATTCTTCTCTCACTCTTCAAAAAGACAGCCTGGATTAGAGTAAAACAAAGAAAGCCTTGCCATACTTTTCTCTTGGTGTCCCAGCACTAATGATTCAAAGGAAATTACTCTGAGGCAAATAAAAAAACAGAGCACAGAAACCGAGAAGTATATAGAAAAGCTAACTAACCACTACTAGATTCTAATTATTTTATAAAACTTCCTTGGCCGGGGATATAACTCAGTGGTAGCTCTGGGTTTGATACTTTACATCACAAAGACATCAATCAACTTTTTTTCTTTTCCAGACCCATATAACTTCTCTTTTCAGCCTCGCCATCTACCATTTAATCGTCAGCAGGTCCTATCTATTCTTCCTAAACATCTTAGATATGTCTTCTAATTTTTATTCCCAAAGTCACTATTCCAATTTGGCCATCATCATGTCATGTCTGAATTCCACTACAGAAGAGCTCATTTTAAAACTAAAATGTATCAAAGTACTGTGCTATACCAAACTATGGGCTTCTCATCCTCCTTGCAACAAAGTTTAAACTCCTTACAGTGTTTTGGTAAAGCACTCTACATTGGACCGGAATAACTCTCCTGCATAGTTATCACTCTTCTGAAACTCTGCATTCCAGACATACTGATATTTCAATTCTACGCTGCACAAATATTATTTCCTGTCTAGTCTCCTCCTGTATGTTTCTGTCTTCACACCTGGCTTATCCTTAACCTTCAGGTGTCTGCTTAAATCATTTTAACACAATGAACCCTGACAATAATACTCTTGTACTTTTTCGTTATAGAAAAATCTATGTGTCTTCAATTATGTATGATCTGTGTCTCGCAGAACGTCTGACATCAACTGGTATTCAACAACTTGTTGAAATAATAAAGACTAAAACGAAATAACTATAACAATAATGGTAATCAGTTATTGGGCATTTAATAAACACAAAGAATATATATGTCTTAATAATCCACAGCTAAAGGACATCCCATGATTTCTGTATTGTTTCTCTTCTGGCCTCATTCAAGCCTTTCACTTAATTCACCTTATTTCTTCCAAATCAGTAACTTCTCTCTCCCTATCCTATTTCTGGGGAACGGCTTCAAGACATTGTCACTTGCATCACCTTTCACTTGGAAACTTTCTCTGTTCCATCTAGAAGGATCAAAAGCATAAAGAACCACATTGAGAAACCATAGTGGAGGTATGACAGTCTTTGGGTTCCCTAAATTCAGCATAACTCTTCACTCATCTCACCGGAGAAAAGCAACTCGATTGTTAAATGCCTCGTAAAGGGCAGCACCTCCCATTCAATCTCCGAGCCGGTAGCCGGGACGGAGCCCGACTGCCTCCACTACCGCAGAACTTCCGGGGAAGACCGGCCCATCGCGCCCAGTGGAATCCGGAGTCTCAAGGTGGTGCGTCCCTTATCAGCCGCCCCCGCCAACGCCGGGGTTCTGGCCCTCACCCTCGACCCGGGAGGCCAGCGGGCGGGGCCTGAGCCTGGACCACGCGAGCCCTGCGCAGCGGCATCTGCGCCCGAGTCCCGTCCCGTCGTTCACCCCGAGATTTCCCTACCTGGCTCGGCTTTGGCCACCGCTCTCAACTTGCTCCCTGGCCCACAAAGTAAAAAGGCGACAAGAGACTTTGAGGACTGAGCCTACGACTGGCACGGGGAAGTGTTGAGCCAGGGGAACCGGGGCCCGAGGCTGCACGCACTAGTACGAGCCAGTCTTTGTAGAAACTTTCTCAGTGACGGGCCCGGCCGTGGCCGCCATCTTTCTGCCGCCGCAGCCTCCGCTGTACGGAACGCCGCTGGGGTCAAACCAAGCCGCGCGCGTCCTTAAGAAGCCGCCTTCAGCCTGACCTTTTTTCGCCAAGTCGCGCAGTAAGGCGGCCCCTGGTGCACTTGGTGGGGTGTGAATGTCAATTGTCACCCATACACTATAGTCCCTCTTGAGGACCTGAAATCAGCGATGGAGAGCTGGGAGCGGAAAGCCCACCAAAAAGCAGGCACATTAAGCATGTAGGCCACACTATTCAGTTTGGACTGAAACTGGGACAGCTGGGCGGGACAGCTACACGTGGTTTGTAAATATTGCAGGAAGCCTTGCTGCTCTTTAACATATATGTGGCACAGTGTATAATCCTCTCTTGATCAGCTAAAGCTCAAGTTCGAGGCCACTTTGAAAACCCCTGTCTCCTGGCTTTCTAATGAAGTATACCATTAATTCACTGCCTATCCCAGGCTCTGAGGTTTCTTCAGATTTCAAGGCTGATTCTCATCTGTACTGTGAACGCCCTAAGTATGGAAATAGTTTGGTACAATATTTGAAGGCAGTGGGAAGCCAGATGGTCTTGGAGTTTGAATCCTGGTTGCAATCTTGATTTATCTATGTAATAGCAATGAAATGTTTGCAAGATTGTTGGGAATATTCAATAAAACTTTTCTTTACAGTGGTATAAAGTAGTGTTAAAAAGTTAAGTGGTATTGGGGCTGGGGATTTAGCTTAGCGGCATAAGTACCTGCCTTGGAAGCAGGCAGTCGTGAGTTTGATCCCCGGTACCGATAAAAATGAAAAAAAGACAAAAAAAGAAAAAAAAAGTTAAGTGGTATTTACTGAAGAAGTCTACTTAAGACCATCTCTATTAGAATAGAGGCAAGTGCAAAACTATTTTGCAGTGGGGCGGGGGACATGGGATTAGACTCATACTGAGTATAGTAAGAATTTACAAGAAAGGAGCTGTGTGGCATGAGTCAATGGATGTAAAATTGCCAAAAAAAAAAAAAAACAACAACAACAAAAAAAAAAAAAAAAACATGGGAATAAAAGAAATTGTGGCTAACAGGACATAACTGGATTATTTTTGAAGCAAGACCAGAGTGACAAAAAAAAATCACTTGCAAGGCAGCAGAGTAAGAGGGACCTTTTGCTGAAACTGTATTTTATAAGACAGTGGCTTCCCTTTCCTGATTTCCAGAGGACTACCTGCCTGCCTACTTACTGCTACAACCACCATTTTCTACTACTGGTAGTTTTCTTACCGGGTGTAGAAGTGGATGGTAACAACATCGGTCTTTCAGCGTACAGATAATGTATGTTTAAAAAAAAAAAAAAAAAAAACTTAAAACTTTTAAATTGTTTCTCCCCTTAAACCTCTGAGAAACCTCAGAGACAGAATGGAATGGAAGTGTATCTCAGGAGTACTTGCCTAGCATATGTGAATTGTTGGGTTCAATCCCCTGCCCTTTCTTAAATGAGTACACATAAATTGTGTGGTCTTGCCCCTTTTCATCCTCAGCTTGAATTCCCACCCACTCCCCAAGTCTTGCATTTTCTCAAATGTAGGGATATGTCAAGTTTTGCTCACCATTAAATCAGCTTACCATAGTGCCTGACATAGATTTCACATTTCAGTAACTGTAAAACAAAATGATATTATATATAGACCCTAAAAAATCACTGGTTCTACAACTTTTAGTGTCCTATTTTTCCTCTCTCCCTTATGTGAATTTTACTTTATCTAATAAATGTCAGGGATTGTTATGGATGGCACATACATGGGTTAAAACATGTTTAGATTAAAGTTCCAAGTATGTAGATGACAATTTTAAGTGCAATTCTAAATATAGTCAGTAGCCAACCCCCAAATCTGTAACTCTGGTTCTCTAAGTGATATGTATTAGTTTCCCATTTCCAACTACCCGCTGATTATTTCTGCTAGAATATTTTGCTATTACTTTTATTTCCACCTTTAATGGACACATAAGTTTTGGGGGAAGATTGTTTGTTTTGTTTTTAGATGCCTAATATTCAAAGCTCCCATGTGATTGGGTGATCCCCCACCTTAGGATACTACTGGCTGAAGATGAAATGCAAAATGCTTGATCAGTCAATCAGGTGTACTAGCTGAAAGCTAAAGGCTCAAAAAGAGCAGGCATAGGAAGCTGTGTCTCCTGGGCCTCTGCTGGAGCACAGCAAGGAAAGCATCTGAGGCAGAAGTGAGCATGATTGTCCTAGAGGCATCTGGCATTCAGTATTGGTGGTGCAGAGATACAGGATGCCTGTCTTTAACTAGAGCAACCCTGGAGCCCTCTTCTAATCAGTTTTATAGACTATGTGAATTTTTGTTTAGCTCCTATAGACTGTATTGTTTAAGTGTAAAGAGTCTCAGGCCATATGGATACAAATCTCAACCAACTTCAGAAATCCTTTGAGCTACTTTATATCCTCTATAAATTTCTTTTGCACAGCTCTTTTCAGCTGCTTAACACAAGACCTCTCATTTAAAACTGTGCTCTTCCATCTTCCTCAAATAGGATCTTCTGCCTTGTGACTTTGAAATCATTTTTGACACTTATCTTGTCTGTATACTTATGATACTTCCATGAGATGTATATATGTTTGAAACTTGACATTAATCTGCACACTCCAGGGTGGATAATTAGCATTTGAGAGACACTAATTAGAAATCTTCACTACTCCATTGGATGTGCAAATGCTTTCAGTATCACTGTGCAAATCTGCACTAGAGCTATGTTAATTAGTATAAAGAATTTGAAGGGATTTTTCAGTGTGGAAATCAGAGTTCATTAGAATATGTAGCTGGCTAGAATATTATATAGGCACTTTAGCCTTTTCATCAATGTGGTAGAAGAATCTGCTTAGTCCAGCACGGTGAAATCTTTCAAAGTGGCTCCATGCAACTACACTGCTCTTTAGGAGTTTACCACAAAGTCTTTTTTGTGAACTATTGTTATGTCTGCTTGTTATTAAATACTTTACATAGTATCATTAAGTCTGAAACTTGCTTTTATTGTAGGGCACCACAGAGCAGTAAAGAAGGTGACGATGTTCATCATTCTCAAGTTACTGGAAGCCATCCTTATTTACCAAAAGAACCTGACCATTATGAAAGACCACGTGTTGCTCATTTTCATTCACCTTATTTTATCATTTTCTTTCAATTTCCACTGCCCCTACCCTAGTTGAAGTTCTAACATCCAAATTACTTTAGTAATCTTCTAGGTGCTGGCATCAACTTCAGTCTCATCATAGTCTAATCCAGTACACTGGTCCCTGGTTGACATTCTCAGAGCGCTACTCTGTGTCATTTCTGGAATTACAGTCAGTGACTTCTACAGGTTATAGAATAAAGTCTAAATTTGTTAGCCTGGCACCTGAGCTCCCTACCCACTGAAACACACACCAGGGCTTGCTCTTATTTCCCTTTTATTGGTGCTATTTGTCTTGAAATTTTTAGAAGTGTCAAGGTCAGTTCCTGACATTTATAATGCCATAGCCAAACACTTGGATATAAAACAGCCACCTGGGAACCATTTCAATGACGAGATTTCAGGCTGTGGTTATTGTTGGTAGTGTAACGATCCTAATGATAAGGATTAGAATCATTTTCAACACCTGCTTGTTTGCAAGCAAAGCCTGTGCTTCAGGCCAAGTGTTGCACCCATAGGTGTTAGTTCAGACTAGAAACACGTGTGTAAAGTACAACCCTGATAATAAATAAATAAATGGAAATAGAGTAGCATTCATCATAGGAATAATGAATGATCTTGTCTTATATTCCAGTCCAGTGTAGCAAGAAGTGATAGATGAATCTACATCATCTGCTTCCTGTGTTCACTCTTGTTTTAATTCTTATGTCAATTCCTCTTTCAGTTTTTCTTCAGTGCAGGCCTGAGGTTAAACTAAGGCCTGTTTTGCATAGACAACCTCCCTTGTAACATTATGTAACAATTTGAATTTACAAAGTGCTTTCACCTATATAATCTTCACAGAAATCCAATAATATATTTTCATCCCCATCTACCAATAAAGTAACAATGATCCAGAGAAATTGTGTTGTTCAGGGTTCTCATAAAGAAGAGCAGAAACTTAAACCACAGTCTTTTGCCTTTATCCTCTAGGGGCCATTCAATGCAACTTTCTAAATGTCAACTGCCAAGGGCGCTCTGTGGGAATCACAGATACTTCCCTCTCAATGCAAATGCTCTTCCCGCTAACTAGGGAAGGGGTGACAGTGTTGACTTTTGGCTACAGCTCAGAATCATAAAGAACTTTCTGTGTGTGTGTGTGTGTGTGTGTGTGTGTGTGTGTGTGTGTTTAAATAGTATTGAGGATTGAACCTAGGGCCTTTGCTCTGAGCTATGTCTCCAGCCCTTCTTTATTTTTGACGAGATAGGGTCTTGTTAAGTTGCCCATGCTGGGCTTCCAACTTGTAATCCTCCTTCCTCAAGCTCCCAGAATTCTAGGATGGCAGGTGTGCAACACTATGCTTGGTGCATGTGGAAGATTTTTAACCTACGCCCACACCAGGCCCAGCCAGGACCAGTCTCTGATTAAGTCCTGGGTATTTATGTATGCGTGCTTGGTGCCTGCATGCATGCACACGTGTGTGTGTGTGTGTGTGTGTGTGTGTGTGTGTGTGTGTGTGTGTGTTCAAGTGCTCCCACTTCCCCAGTCCAGTGGTTCTAAAATAAACAAAGGTCACGGACTACTCAGTTCTTACCTTCCTTAGTGCAGAGTTTTCCAGAAAATTTGTCCCCAGAAAAGTTACCAATATGACCTGGGAACTGGTTAAAATGTAGATTTTCTCCCTATATCCTGAGCTTTACTAAATCAGGAGCTCTATAACACAAAAATACCGATTTTAGAGTTAAGTTTGGATGTGTGTACCTCCTATTACTTCATATTTTTAAGTTTTAGATTGAATTTTTGAGGACCTGTTTTACATCTTCTATCTACCTGTAATTCATGTACTATCCAAAATA